GTTTAATCGTCCCTCTCCCAACATCATATGCTTATAGTGATTCTCAGTGAAACCCACTATCCAGAATCGCTGTAACACTAGTATTTTTATTGGTTATTCAATTTTGATTATATAATTATAATTTGAATTAGATTATATATTATATGAAATTATTTTTTTTAATTCTATTTGAACTAATTTTTTAAGATAATTTCTGAAATAAGTTATTTTAATTAGATTTATTTAACAAAATATATTGGTTAATAATTTAATTAGAAAATATATTGATTTTATTAAAAAACAAGATAAAATATGAAATATATCAAAAAATATTTTAAAATATTTTGTATTTATTAATAAAAAAATATACTGATTTTACTTAGAAAAATTTTAGAAAATATATTAAAAATTAATCAAAATTATAAAGTTATTCCAAAAATAATTCAAAATATATCAAAGAATTCAGAAATTTGTTAGAAAAACCAGAAATTTTGTTACTGAATTAGAAATTTACTAAATTAGCAAAATAATTTTCAAAATTAAAAATAATAATTCAAAAATATTAAAAAAAATTCAGAAAATTCTTTAAAAAACAGGTTTTTTAAATTTATTTTCTAAAAAATTTGGAATAATTTTTTTAAGTCATAATTCTGGAAATTTTTTTATAAAGTTAATAAATTATAAAACAAGTAATATATAATAATAATTATTATTATTTAATATAATAAAATAATAATTGCAATAAGAATAAGAATAATATAATAACAATAATCAAAATATAACTTATAATTATTATAATAAAAAAATCATTAAAAAAGCATATTACTTAAAAAAGAATATAAACAAACTACCAATTAAATAATAACAATTATACTTTTTGAAAAAACAAACTCAATTATTTGTTTTTCTTGTAGCAAAATTGAACATCAAGTAGCAAATTATACTAAAAAAAATAATAAATAATGCTCATAATCAAATAATTTATGCATTGGACAATTATAAAACAATAATGATATATTTATATTATAAAAATTATTAATTCCTCAATTTATGAAATTATAAAAATTATGTGATAAGTTTAGAATATTTTTTTTAATTATTATATTTTTATATTTTTTATATTATTAATCTATTTTCATATTTTGATATTTTTTATTTACCTATTATTTTATTTATTTATTTTGATAATTGAATTTTAGCCAATCATGAACTTCTATGATTGTACACACCATTATTCTTCTTTCTATATTTAGTCAAGTTAGAATTCTATTTTTAGTTAGCGTATATTTATCTTTTATATTTTTTTCTTGTTTTTGAAATATTATTTCTGGATCACCAATCTCGCGTGAGCATAACTCGTTTAGCTTAGGCGTAGTTGCTATATCTCACCGGGTGGAAAATTAATCGATCAGAATTTTTTACTTAAGAAAATTAACATCTTAATCAACTCGATAGAGCCAGGATTCGATATGATTTTACATAACTCTCGATATAGTGAATTTTTGAAAATTTTTCACTAATAGCCCGAACACTTCACTATAACGAGGTTTGACTGTAACACATTAGATCGATGCAAAATTCACCCGGTTGGGTCAGATGTAGTAAGCAGTTCATTTATGTTGAGCTTTACTTGCATAATTATTGGAAGGATGCAAAATACCGACACTACATGTCATAAGCCATGCAAGAAACTGAATGTATGTCAAGTTAAGAGTCCACATTAGGGTGATAGATCATTTAAAAACATTGTCAAAGAGTCTCATGCCGAGAGTTCAGGAACATAAGTCCTCCTCTCTGCTGGTGCACATAGGTGAATTGATCTAGTACGTCACTCTCGACCAGGGAAGAATCCACCTGGTCACCAGGCTTTGGTTCCCAGACTCGAAGCGTATTGGTTTGGACCCAATTGTGCCAGTTATTATCGTCCCCGACGGACACTGAAAATGTAGGCTAATATAATTTAGCAGGTGTACCATACCCCCGAGCAATGCTCTGATCCTTCTCCAACCTTTTTCCCAAGGTGACAACGGACGATGTAGGATAATATGGTTTCTGGAACTCCCGTATCCAGAACGGTCTTGTATAACTTATTCGAGTCTGAGGTTTCGTAAACTCGATACTCAAGCATAACAGAACTTTCATCCCCTGCTCCAATGCTTTTAACCCGAACTTTGATCTTTATTAATAATATTTATTGTAAATCAATTAATTCTATTTAGCATTGAAAAATTCGCTCGATTCAGACCATGTATTCTCCATCATTGGATCGCTGGGCATGCACTGCCTTTGCCATGGAGACTTTAGGATGAAGATATTGCTCACGAAGTAATGGATCAACGGGGATGTAAAGGCACCGGGCATTTTGTCATCGAAGTCTGACAGTTGCTGATTTGTATACTTTTTTGACCCATACCTTTTCACTTTCTGTTCATATATCAATACCCAGTCTTTCTTATGTTCATCAGCCCTTGTCGAGACTGTCATAGAAGACAATTGAGCGCGAATTCTCGGTCACCTTCGAGAATGTTATAATCATTAGTGAAAGCCCAGAATACTTGACTTCTGGTGAGATTAAGCATCGAAACGGGCCACCTGAAATTATGTCCCACGCGATTTGTAAAGGCGTTAGTTAAGGAAACAAAAATAACAGAATAGTAAGAGCGTGTGAAGAAAATTTTGGTCGTACCTAAAAACTTTTGTGTCTCGCCTCATTCTTTCTCATACACGCGAAGGGACTCCACGGTTTCGAATGGAGTGTCAAGGTGAAGGGCGTCAAGTGTCTCCATTACTTTAAATAAAATAAAAGTCTGATTAATGAGACATTGATCGGTATTAGTATAAATGGTTTTCATAGAATACTATCGGTATTTATTCTATTTATTCATTAAAAATTATACCCAGCAAACGGGATCCAAATGGGTGAGAGCACACCAATTACAAAAAGAAAAGAAACGAATACGAAGAGAAATACGAGAGGAAACAAGATTGGCAGTTTTTGTGATCGATTATTTTCATTATACATGTATATCCTACCAGTAGTATGTGCTATCATTATATTGGTAGTACATGTTAAGCTTTTTCCTGTACCATACTCCATACTATACTGATATTCTATAGACCCAGAAGAAAGATTCCATTATTCTGACACATGCTCCTTTTTTTCCGATCATCATCAAGTTTTTGACATTTTTATACAGCTAGTGCTATGAAATCGATGCTGTGCTCCTTGCACTTCGATATTTTTAGAAGGCATCAATCTCTAATCCTTTCAAGTAAGGAGAGTGATACTCGATTATTGGTTCCTCATTAAGAACTATCTGGATGCATTTAGTCTGGAATTTGCGATTTTTTTTAGATTCTCTTTCCGTGCTAGTTTTATAATTCTAGCTAACGGTTCAGCATGTTCCTGTCTCACCTGTGCGTTTGCAACCTCATTTTTGGCAATGAGTTCTCCTAATGAATCAATCTCGGATTGCATGATTGATAATAAATTTTACATATCCGATAATATATTTAAAATGTATAACAGCGGAGTAGCAATTGTATGACTTCGACCGTTCCCTCGGGGAACGATTGAAGTTACACAAAAAATTCTTGATCATTGATGTCCGCACAATGCAATAAAATCCCGAAATGCAAAAGTAAATGCGATATGTATGGAAAAATCGACCCTGCAATACAAAAATAAATTATATAATGCACACACCACATCGCATGTCATGCATACACGAAAGCTAAAAATCAAAGCCATATTGGCGTGAAAACTTTATTTTTCAATGATTAATATAAAATGCAATACTGTGTTTAATATCTACAAATTATTCATTAACACGATAAGCCCTACTCTCAAAATAATATCAACTCTGCATCATTTCGTTCCTTAACGGCTCTAAATACTCGTTGCTTTTCTTTTTAATCTTCCATTCCAAAGCTTCACGAACTGACTTTTGATTTGGCCGGTAATAAAAACACCTGTTTCAAGGCCCTCTTCATTTGAGTGTATTACACTATTGTCATTCAATGGTTTGAGTATTACTTGTTCTACAAATCGGCAGAGTGGTTTAATGTTACATTCTGCCTCCAAAAGCTGCAAGCAATTCCGTACAGGCATTAAATCTCCTCTTTCCAGTCATAAATCTTTAACGCCTCTGCAATAAACTCTCTCAGAAACACGATTTTGGATTCGAAATTTATTTTGCAATGAATTCGGTTGATATGTGAGGGCACCAGTATAGAACATGAACGATAATAACGGGTGCGATCAGTTGCCAGCTCGCGAATGCTAGTGAGTCGAAATTGTTGCTCTATACCATTTCTGGATTCGAGAGGACTTCTATTAAGTGCTTCGGTAAAAATGGATTTGCCAAGGGTATTGTTGACAATCAAGTCCAATGTTGTTTGAGAGGGCAATGTATTCGGATCAGGGGGAAAACGAAGAAAATTCTTGATGACAATTGAAGAATCTTCATTATAGTCTATAAATTTCATTTGCCTAATCAACATTCGAATACAGTACAGAATCCGAGCAGTGTTGAAAATGCCCTCAGTTTGATTAATATTAAAAAAATATCTGTCATTTTCCTCTTTTAAACATTTTACTATTCCCTCCTTAACATCAGATGGCAAACTATTTCCAAGGGCATTGTCCAAAAGGAGTTCAACTTCTGACTTCTTAAATCCATGTAAGTCCCAAAATTCTTCACTTAATGCCAAATCTGATGAAATATTAAAACCCGAGGTAAATTCGGCCATAACAACAGGAGTCACACCAGTTTGGAAGACATAAGCTATGCCTCTATCACAAGCAGTCCTCAAACAGCTGTAAAATTGCTTGAATGAACTTTCGATTAATTCGATTTTATTTTCCTTTTTGTAATTATTTGATGATAGTTTCGTTTCTAAGAGCTTCATTCATACTAGCATCATACTCATCAATGCAAATATAAAGCTAAAGGTGTGAAAGGATAATAATTTAATAATTTTCTGAACAAAATAACTGAGCAAAGGGAAAAATACCTTGTAATCACTTAATTCTACCGAATTCAGTAACCTTAATAAATTTGTCAAAGCATCCATATTTTCATCAACAATTTGAAAATGATGTTCCAACTCCTGTTGATATCGATATACAAACCTCGACATAAATAGATTCAAACGTTTGTGAAAGCTCTCCTCAAAGATGTCAAATGTTGTACTAGTGCGAATTCCAGAAAAATTGAGCTCAAGAACGAGGAAGGAAGATGCTAATGGTGTGGGATTTTTACCGATGTATAGATCACCAAATATTGTTTGAATTGCACTTCTTGGTTCTTTATATCGTAATAAGCAGACAAAGTGGAAAGGAATAGTGTCTTTCCAAAGCGACGAGGACGTAGGGAAAGGATGGCATGGACATTGAGATTCTCTATTTTAGAGATGAAGTGAGTTTTATCCAAATAATATCCACCTCTTTGCCTCAAATCAACAAATGACCCTGTTGAAAATATCTTGAATGGCTTTGACGCTTCAAATTTTTCCAGGTCAACCTCATGTTGTTCACCAATTTGGGTTGTTTTGATTTGTGCAAGGTCGGAAAAGGTGAGAAAATATTTTGCGGCTAAACATAATTGTTACCAGTGTAGCATTGATGTTCTCGATACTAGAATGTATGTTTTCAATAGTAGTTTCAAGAACTTTTGTTGTGCCGTTCATTATGGATCTAGAGGCATTTTTCTGCAGTTATAAAAAAATACTGTCAATATGCTCTCGATTTTATTAGATAAGAAAAATTGGTTAAACAAAAAACCTCAAGAAGGTGTAATTCTTCGTGCATCTCAATATTTTCCCAAAACATATCAACATCTGTATAGTATTCTCGATGTCCATAGAATTAGTGTATTGATTCAGAATGCCACCGTAGCTGTGAGGTCAATCCTTTTTCCACAACGGACAAGCAGACCATAAGGCAGGCAACAAGCAGATGCCACCATAGTTGTGGAATCCTTCTTCTGCAACCAGCCATGCAGAAAACGATAATATAAAAACAAAAAAAGCTTTCCTTAAAAGCTTTATTCAACTGACTGGTAAATGCCTTCGCTTTGTCCGAACCATCCTTTATCAGATTATCAAGGTCCTTTTTAAGCTTGTCTGATCCCTTCCGGAAGGAGAAGCTTAAGTCGACCTGTTGTAAGCGGTACTCGTAAAAATCCCGAAAACGATAATCTTCGGTCGTGTCTCATAAGCACTCCAAATATGAGATATGAGTACCAGCCATGGCAAAAAAATGTCCGGGTCATGTGATTTTAAGGGGTAAACCAATCAAATCGCAAGATATGAAAATATTAATAACGTTTCGGTTAGGGTTAGGGCCCAGTGTTGTCACTTGGACGTAAATCCAGCAATTTGATTGGGTGGGACAAGTGTCCTGACCAATCAAATTGCTGGATT